GGGAAGCCTGCTTCTCTCTCTCCCACTCCCCCTGCTTGTGTTCCCTCTCTCGCTGTGTCTCTCTCTGTCAAATAAATAAATAAAATCTTTAAAAAAACAAACAAACCAATGAACAGTCTACGGTTTGTGTGTGGTTTTTTTTAAGATTTTATTTATTTATTTAAGAGATAGAGCATGAGTGGGGAGGGGCAGCAGCAGAGGGAGAAAAAACCTGAAGCAGACTCCCACTGAGCACTGAGCACAGAGCTTGAGGCCGGGGGAAAACGGGGCTTGATCCTACAACCAACCGATCGACCATGAGATGGTGACCTCAGCAGAAACCAAGAGCCAGATGCTCAATTGACTGAGCCACCCAGGCGCCCCAACAGTCTATGTTCACTCTGACAATAGTGGTCTGTACTCAATGTAATTGTCCTACCTCCAAAACACATCCTGAATCCAATCACATCTCTCTCTCTTACACCCCACCAGCAGTCTCAGCCACCAGCGCCTCTTGCTTGAACTACTACTTTAGTCATTTAACTGGTCTCCCCTTGCCCCCTGCCCCCAACAATTTAATTTCACATAGTAAATCACAGCATTACTCCCCTTCTTAAAACTCACCATGGCTTCCTTCCTATCCCATTTAAAATGAAACCTAGGGGCTCCTGGGTGGCGCCTTAGTCTAAGCCAACATCATCTCTTGGCCATATTAGGGCATCTCCTCCTCTTTTGCCCTACCACAATTCATTTTCCGCTGCAGCAAGAGAGATCTTTAAACACAATTCGAATCATGTCACATCCCTGTTCAGAACCCATTGTACTTAGGATAAAATTTAAACAAAACTAAACCAAAAATCCTACCATTGCCGAAGAGGCCTTGCATGTGATCTGGTCCCCTCCACATCTCCAGTTCAAACTTATGCCCTTCAGTCAATACTCTCCATCATGCTGACTTTCTTTCTATTTCTCTAATTCCACAAAATCTTTCTTGGTTTAAAGTCTTAGAATGGGCTATTTTCTGTTTGAGAAGGTCTTCTCTGCTACTGTTTACTTTGCCTAACTTCTTTTCCGACTTCAAATCTGAACTAAAACATTACTTCTCAAAGTGTTCTTCCCTGACTTTTCAGTCAAAATCAGCTCCCTTTGTGATATATCTCATAACACCCTGTACATTTCTACAAATAACTGGTTTGGTGGTTGTCTTAATATGACTCCCCCACTAGACTAGAAGCTTAGTGAGAATGGGAACCATATCTGACTCTTTGCTTTATTCCCTAGCCCATAGTAAACACCTCCTCAATATTTTTAGAATGAATGAATGAGCAGGCATAACCTGTGAGGCATAACCTGTGGTACAGACAGAAACAGATTTAAGCAATATAATATCTTATCTTGCCCAATCTTAGTCATTCATCATAGAAGAACATCTATCTTCCATCTGCCTCCATTCACTATTCTCTGATAGTTTAAAATCTAAATGAAGATTGGAAGCCAAGTGATTAAGATGTGTATATTCTGGGAAGACCCTGAAAGATCTTTTGCTCATAAAAGCCAAGCCATGCAGTATGGGAAATACAAAAGGTCTTGTAGGATAAAAGGATATCAAACCTGAATGAACGCTGGGCCCACTTCTCCTGATCCACACGGGGGGCTAGTCCAGATTTTCCAGCCCACAGGACATTGTCACAGGCGAAGTACAAGGCTCGATTGAGGTGACTAACAGTGATGCAGAATCTCAGGACAACATCTGATAAGTGCACAGCTCGTTTGGCTGACTCAAGGGCATCTGCTGAGTTACCCAGGCGTAGAACTTGTGGAGATTAGCAAGGAGAAGCAAGGATTTGGAAGTAGAGGCAGAGAGTGAGACACAGAGAAAGAGGAAGCAAGAAGGTGAAAGTCAAGCAAGTGACAGAAACAATAATTACAATTTTTTAAAAAAAGAAGAAAAACAGTTCAAAATTTTTTTTTCTTCAAATTTTAGTTAATTTGTGTCCCAGTTTGGTTTTCTCAAACTTGCCCCATACTCTCCAATCCTTCATTAGTCCCTTACCCCTGCTCTCTTATCTCAATCAAGAGGCATGCAGAGCCAAATAAGGGGGAAGAACTGGCAGAGAAGGTCAAGAACAGGAAGGAAGGACTAAAGGAGAATAGCTGGGGATGGAGAAAGTGTTGGAGTAATAAAGCAAAAGTACGGTTACTTACGCTTCCTTCCTAGGCTCAGATGACCCTCCAGTTGTCGAATTTGTTTCTGTAACTCGGGACTGGCCCCATGTTTCTGTAGTGCATGGCCAAGAAGGGAGCAGGCATACTGGGCGGCCCTGGAGAAGAGGCCAAGCAAGGTAAGGCGGAGATGTCCCTAACCTACGCCTCAAAAAATGTCTTCCAAAGTAAAGTACTGACTTCCCTTTTTCCCAGTTTGAGAACATTCCCGTTCCTCCTCTTTATGCCCACTTCTTACCATTTCTCCTTCAGGCCAGGGGAAGGGAAAGGCGTTAAGGATAAAAAGGAGCCTAGAAAAGGAGTTGGGGGCGTTACTTGGAGTTGAGAAAATAAGAGATTTGACAATGATGAAGTCTGAAGGAGACTGTGAAGGCAGCAGGGCGTCCATCACGAGCACATCAGTGTGAGCATGTACATGACATGTAAGGGAGTGGGGAACAGATGGAGGGATTATTCTTCAGAATAGGTGAACTAGGAGATTTCAAGGCCCTCTAGCTGAATCGAGACCGGAAGACAGGGCGGAGGCAGAGGAGTCCCCAGATGACAACAGGGTGAGGGGACAAGGGAACTTAGAGCCACTCAGCTCTGGGAGGCAGAGTCCGGCTATCCATCGCGGGGCGAATGCTCCTCACGCCACCACCGCCCAGTGAGTAAAGTGCTGGTCTTATGTGGACATGGCCACCCTGAGCGGCCTCCCCGCTGGCCCACTCGTGCCTCAGTTTCCCCATCTTTCCGGTGAGCAGAAACGAATCATCTCCTCACGGCCCGCTCAAATCAGCACCTGGCGGTCCGTCCGGGCCTCCGTAGCCCGAGCTGACCCCTTTTGACCCCCGTAGTATGAACGGACCTCGCCTCACGAGGATCTTCCTCTGTCCCCACCCCCATTCCTATTCGGGCCGCACCTACACAGCCGCTCCCGGGCCTGGCTCTGAGCACTGAAGCGAACCCAGGCGTCCATGACAGCAGCAGCCCTGGCTCCGCAGCCCCGCGCCCGCCCCACTTCCCGCTCCTAGTCACGCCTCCTGGACGATCAACGGTGTCTCGCGAGGGACAAATATCGCCAGAAAAGAAAGCGAGTGAGGCCGGCCTTGGAATCTCAGAACAAGAAACGTTTGTTTCTGGATCAACACCAGGGTGTTTTTCGGTGGGTCTCCGTCTGAATATACGCTTATCGGATGGCCTCTATTTTCTAAGCACGCTTCCGGCGGTACATTCTTCTTTAAATATTCTGGACCAGGGGCGGGGCTTGCATTAGGGGCGGGGCGAGAAGACACCGCAGCGTCTCGCCTGCCCGGCTAGGATAGGGTTGCCCCCGGGGTGCTTCCAGAACACCCCCAACACACACACAAACACACACCCGCTGCGGCCGAACCCAGGGCTGTAGGGGCTAAAGAAGTCTATGGAAGTAGAAGCCAGCACCAGATCCCTGTTCCCTGCGGGACCCTGACAGTTGGGCAGGTGACCTCCAGGATACAGATGGAGAGTCTCCAGAGACAGAGGCTTTAATGGACGAAATTCGCAATAACCAGCTTCAGATTCTAATAAGGAGGAGGGCGAAGAATCAGTGGACGAAGCTAACCTCTTCATACTAACACTTCATCCTCCCACCCCTTTCCCTTCCAGGTCACCATGTCTGCAGGCAATGGCACCCCTCGGGGGTTAGCCGCGGGGGAGGAGGTCTGGGCTGGATCAGGAGTAGAGGTGGAGGGCTCAGAGCAGCCCACCTTCTCAGCTGCAGCCAAGGTCCGAGTGGGAGTGACCATTGTGCTGTTCATTTCTTCAGCTGCAGGGAACCTGACCGTCCTTTGGTCAGTGACTCGGCCACAACCCAGCCAAATCCGCCCGTCCCCTGTACGACGACTCTTTGCCCACTTAGCAGCTGCTGACTTACTAGTCACTTTTGTGGTTATGCCCCTAGATGCCATCTGGAATATCACTGTTCAGTGGCTGGCCGGGGACATCGCATGTCGGACACTCATGTTCCTGAAACTAATGGCCATGTATGCTGCAGCTTTCCTGCCTGTGGTGATTGGACTTGACCGTCAGGCAGCTGTACTCCACCCGCTTGGACCCCGCTCAGCTGGAAGGAAACTTCTGGGGACGGCCTGGGGACTTAGTTTCCTGCTTGCCTTGCCCCAGGTGAGTGACTTGTTGGGACTCAAGGGTAGACTGGACAATAATTTGGGTAAACAACAAGAGCGTTTGGAGTCAAGGGGTGTGCTTGACCAGTGGTCACCCATTAATGCTCAGAGGGGAGCCTCTGATGTTTTGCAAATTAAGATCATTGCAGGTTAACCTGTATCTCTATTAAGACCCTACATCTTCAAAGCAGTACCCTGTACCTATGCCTTTTTGCATCCTCCAGCTTCTTCTTCAGGAGACTGTTGCAGAAACTCTAGGGATAAAACATATATGGGGGTCTATAAAGAAGACAGTGAAGTCAGGGGCTTTGGTTAAAACTCTGGTACAGTCACTCATCCATTCAAAAAATAGTGTTAATCACCCCTAGGCACACTCTAATGCTCTATCAAGGATTGAGCAGCAAAGACCTGCCTTCAGGAAACTTACTAGAGCAGAAGACATATTAGTATGCAATTATAATAAAGTATGCAGTAAAGCATTATGCTAAAGGTAAGCATAAGGAGCTAAAGAACAATGAGGATGTCTGACCCACTCCTGGACAGTCAGGGAAAACTTCTCAAAGACATTAAAACTGATTGTTTTTGATTAAAATAAGAGAGGTGTTAGACAAGTTCAAGCAGGAGGAATGCTGGGGAGGGTGGAAGGTAGAGGAATTCAAAGTAGTTGTAGCTAAAGTTGAGAGCTAGAAAATGGGTGAGTGGGCGCCTGGGTGGCTCAGTCAGTTAAGTGGCTGCCTTCAGCTCAGGTCATGATCCTGGGGTCCTGGGATCGAGCCCCACGTCGGGCTCCTTGCTCAGTGGGGAGCCTGCTTCTCCCTCTCTGTGTCAAATAAATAAAATCTTAAAAAAAGAAAGAAAGAAAATGGGTAAGTAATGAGCCTGGATGGGAAGGAAGAGTAGGTTATAGATATTAAGGTTGTACTTTATCCTGAGGGCAGTGGAGAGACACTAAGGTAAAAGATGGAGAGTGACATAATCAGATTTGTATTTTTTATTCTAGCTTTACTGTGAAAACTGGAAAGAAAACTAGAAAGAAAATGGAGCATTTGAACTTGAGTACCAGTTATCAAATCTCATGTATTGACAATGAACTAGAAATCTAGAAAAAAATGAAATATGAAGCAATTCCTTTAAGACCAAAACCAAAACCACCACCACCCTCTGAGGGGAAGGAGTAGACCAGGATTAGGATTCTACCTAGAAGGGGCTCTGGAATGACAGTGCATTATAGAATCAGATTTAAAATATGATCCTTAAATCCTCAAATATTAGAAATAGAACTACCAAAAGTTAGTCTGACTATAGTTCTAAGACAAAAAATAGTGCTTCTAACAATGCTGCAAGAAGGACCTCTGCTACCCAAAGCTTTAAAAAACAGCATTGCTGCCTCAGTGCAAAAGGTATTACAGTTGTTTATATGAAGCAAATTTTAGATGTGGACTGGGAGGTAGAAGCCTGTTTTTGTTGCATTGTTTTACTTTGTTTTTTCTGAGTCTAGGCTCTACTAACTAGCTATATGACTTTGGCTAAATCACTTGAAACCAATGGGCCACAAGATATTAGATAGGAGTTTCATCATTTGTTACATTCTGACAACTGCAATCTCCATTTGTTTCAATGGCAAACTGATGATAACATTATGATACATGTGCAAAAGATGGTATTTTTGGTTCCAAATTAGCATCCTGTTGTATAAATTCTGCATTGCCCGTATGTTCTATTTAAAATATTAATCTTACCTTCAAGGACTAATATGTCAATAAAAAAACCTTTTTTTAAGTGTGGTGAGGGACTATTGGAGTAGTTAGAAATTATCTTTGAAGGCTCAAGTTTCTAAGTATCGTAAGTGGTTGAAAGGAAGGTTTCTATAGTGGGTGATAAACTGCATGTAATAGGGGGAAGGAAAGGCAGAAGGAGGGCTACAGACCAAACTCTAAGTCCAGGAGCCTTGCTTATTTTTAAACCCCTTTTCACAAGATGTCAGATACATCTAGGCATAGTGCAAAAAGAAACCAAACCAACCAACCAAAAAACCTACAAATATATGGACTCAAGACAGGGGAAGGGGAAAGACGACTCCCCAACTAGCTCAGAGTAGCTGATCATAACTCCAAGCCATTCATAAAATTGTGTCTGGGGCAGCTGCTCGCAGTGTGTTTGGGGCCGTGATGTCCGGACGCGGCAAACATAAAATTGTGTCTGTGGCTGATACTATTCACCTTTCCTAAAAGTCCCTCACACCTGCTGAAATCACTTTCCCAAATGCCTTAGATCTAGGAATCAGAGACCCACTAAGCTTGACTTTTATCAAACTAATAGTAACTCAATCTGCCTTACCTGAATCAAGGTACTAACCTGAAGCTCTAAACTGAAAAATACTCTAAGATTCAAACCAAAATCTCAGCAATTTACCAAAAAGGGGAAGGGGCAGCCAACAGCATTTGGAAAATGTTAAATTTTATTACTTAACATTGTTTCACCGTTATAGTTATTGTACATAAGACTATCACTAAAGGTCACTTCACAGAGTGGCTGCAAAATGGCCTGAAATTTTAGCAGCACCCATTTTATACAAAATTTCTTTTTCCACAGAATTAGACACATCAAAAAAATCATTTCAGCTAAAAATGTTGGTGAGGTGGTAGAAACATCCTTTTACAAAGCCCAATGTTAGAACAGTACTGGAGGAGGCAAGATTCTTTTAAGTCCCAGGATTTAACAAACTTAATGATTAGCTCCGTAGCCTAAGGGGAAGACAGGGATTCTCAAGTTTTGAACCTTTTAAATATGGCACTATGGATGAACTCAGCACTACCCAGCTTTGCAGAGAATTAAGGATGAACTGGGATAGTGTGACCAGGGAGAAGGGTGAAGGGGGACCAGTTCTAACAGTCCTCAAACTCCACTCCAGCTGTTCCTGTTCCACACCGTCCGCCGAGCTGGCCCAGTCCCCTTCACTCAGTGTGTCACCAAAGGCAGCTTCAAGGCTCGATGGCAAGAGATCACCTATAACCTCTTCACCTTCTGCTGCCTCTTTCTGCTGCCACCGACTGCCATGACCGTCTGCTATAGCCGCATTGTCCTCAGTGTGTCTAGTCCCCGGACAAGGAAGGGGAACCATGGTAAGACTCCAATCCCCGGGCCCTAACCCATACCCTAAAAACTATTGCCTCTAGCCTCATTTACTGATCTGATAGTTTTCTATCAAACCAAAAGTGACATCATAACCATCCCTCTAGCACCTGATGCTACAGGTATTTTCTAAATGCCTCCAGTTGTAACCAGCCTCTAGCTACCCTCCATTGTTGAGTTAGCTGGGCAAGATTGAGGAGGAAGGTGATCAGTGTTCTCCTTTAGTCTTGGACACCATCAAGTCTTCAAGTAGTCTTAGTAGCTTCATAACACCACATCTCAATCAAAACCTTTCCTCCAGCATGTCTGTCATACTCCCTAGGGGAGAGGGGGGAGCATATAATCCCAGTTTGGGAAGGGAAGAGGATGTGCAACATTACCTCCTATTTGCCACATTCTCTTCCTTGTATCGGGAGAACTCCAGCTCACCATCCCTGCCTGTTCATCCTACACTCAATTCAGAAGCTGAGTGGTTCTGAATTTGAGTGTTTTCTAAATTCCCAGCCCCTGCCGGTGAATTTGCCCTCCGTCACTCCTTAGACAATCGCTCCCGTGTTCGTCTGCGGGCCCTGCGACTGGCCCTACTTGTCTTGCTGACCTTCGTCCTCTGCTGGACACCTTATTACCTGCTGGGCCTGTGGTACTGGTTCTCTCCCACCATGCTAACTGAAGTTCCCCCCAGCCTCAGCCACATCCTTTTCCTTTTCGGCCTCCTCAATGCTCCTCTGGATCCTCTCCTCTATGGAGCCTTCACCCTTGACTGCCGAAGAAGGCACCAGGAACTTAGTATAGACTCTTCCAGGGAAAAAGGTTCTGAGAGAATGCCCCGACAGGAGATTCAGGCCCTTAGACAGCTGCAAGTACAAACAAACATGGCAGCAGGAAGGACAGGAGAAACAAGAGAGACATTCCTGTAACATCCATTTGCATGGAACAGAGTATACAGGAACAAAATAATTATGCTTTAATATCTCAAGAACACCTCACTTCTACCTGGGCTCTCTTAGCTTCCAAGAAAAAGAAGTACTGAGCAGTGTCTCTACTCTCACCCTAGCTGAAACTTGAGACTATATTTAATGTAGAAATTCACACAGAATTGAGGCCCAAGAAGCATCTTCACAGTGACCCAAACTGCCTTACTGTAAATAGTGCTTCCGAGATTGCAATGTTAGAAGAAGAAAGTAATTTTAAATATACAAAACAAAAATGGGACATTTATTCTAACTCAAAAACAAAAACCAATCCACTAAGCAAGTAGGGTGAGAGATTAAATATAAACACAGTGAGTTCCACCCCTGCCCTATTTCTCCAAGGCTGCATGGTCAAGTAGAATCTCTGGAGAGAACATCTGGACAACAGAGGACCTGTCAGCGCCGCCTCCGGTCTGGACTCCTGCTGCGTCTTCGGCCACCTCTAGGGAAAAGGAAGGGCCCATCAGAGGAACATAATACAACATCCTTATTCTGTTTTGCTCATGTTCCCTTCACCAAGATAGTTTGCCCTCTCCACTTTACCTCCTCTTGCCCTTGGGTGGACCCCGAACAAAACACCAGTCCACACTGATGGGCTGTCCCATCAAATCCTGGCCATTGAGTCCCTCCATTGCAGCCTGGGCCTCCTTGTATGTTTCATACTCAACTAGAGTATAGCCCTGGGACAAGTGAAAAGACAGAGATCAAAACTCTCATATTCCACCAAACACCACCTAAGTATCCTATTCCTCAAATCTAAACTCATACTCAAATACAAAAATCTATAAACTTTTAACAACAAATGTACATCATATATCCTTATTGTACATACAAAATGTCTGTTTCCGTCTCTTTGCTATGTCTGACAAAATCAATTTCCAATCTCATTTTATTTCAACTTTGCTCTTGGCCAATCACAACAAACATGGGAGAACTATCAAAGCTGTCTAAAGGTTATGCGGGAAGAGAGGCAATAGGGTGTCACTTAGGGATACCTTCAGGTATCCTGTACGCCTGTCCAGGTTGAGGTGGATGTTTTTTATTTCCCCATACTCTGCAAATTTGTCATGGATGTCTTCTTCGGTGGCTTCCTCATGGACTCCAGTGACAAAGAGAATCCAGCCTTCAACAGCTGTTGGAGAGGGAGGGAGGTTTGAGCACAAGAGAAAAACTTCAAGCAAGATCACAAGAGTGGACTAAGTGGGGATTCCAGAGATTGGTTAAGGTATCTCCGACCCCATTCCTACTGGGTTTTATTTCATTGGTCCATAATTCCCTACAAACAGATCCCTACAGGCTACATTTTACTTACAGCGTTGCGGTCCAGGTTCATCACCATCCTGTTCCACGCTGTCATAATCCTCACGCATCCGCGCTCGAGACCCTTCTTCTATATGGAACATACAAGAGATCACCAGAAATCCATTCTCCCGCTGTTCCCCATGAGTCTGAATGGGGACTCCAAAACTCGTAGAATATCGCCATTCTAGACCCATTTTCCCCACAAACACTCACCGGAGCCAAAGCCGCGGCCCTTCCGTTTCTTCGCCTTTTCTTTCAGTTTGTGGATGCTCTCTGGAGCCCCAGAAGTGAAAGAATGAGTAACAAAAATAACAAGTATTTGTAACAATAGTCTCTTTACGGACACATTATCTGAAAGCAGCCCCACCACCTCCAGTCCCATTCTCTTCCCGGTCCCGCCCGCATTCCTCCCGAAGGGGGCGCTGTCTCTAATCCAACTGAAACCCGATTCCCCGAATCCCATCCTCCCTGACGGGAAAGGAAATTATCTTCCTATTAGTCCCTTCTCTCGCACCTTCCCCGCTTCCCGCAGCCGCCTCCACTGTCCTCACCGTCCCCATCCTCATCCATGGCGAAATCCTCGCCCCCCGCCTCATGAAGATCCAGCACGTCCGCCATCTTGCCTTCCTTCTTACTCTCGTCCGTGCCGCTCAAGCACTAGGCACCTCGGGAAACTGTCGCGGAGGGGAAAAGTCGCTAGTTAAGTTGACCAATCAAAAGCTAAGTTTAAGTCCCGCCCCCGGCGCGGTGAAAATACGCAAATAAAGGCGGGCCTAGTTCGGGAAGATGCCGGAAGTGCTCTTGTAGCCATCTTGAACAGCTGGTGAGCTGAATGGAGTAAAGCTCTAAGGGACCGCTAGTGGGTAGGTGCAGACAATGGCTTCCTATTAATTAGGGCAGCCGAGGAGAAATACTACTGCCAGAGAAGCACTGCCTAATTTTTTTATTAGAGGATTGTTTTTCGTCTCCTTGGACTCCATACTAGGAAATGGAACTTGATGAATGTTTTTTTTTCTCTCAAAACTTCTAGACCCGTACCCTGTTCGGAGGAGTAGCTGGATCCGTGATGGAAACATTTTTAAAATAGTTCAATCAGCAATGCTGGCTCAAAAGCTGCTTCCGGTTCGTACTGCAGCACCGAATTTCTCTCTCAAGAAAACTAACAGACCTGGTTGTCAGTGAACTAGGATTGGTGAGACGGGTATCAGCTGCTTATTTATTTTTTTAAGATAAACTCTCAAACCCTTGCCACCACCTCCGAGAATTAAAAAAAAAAAATCATGGCTTTAAACAAAATAGGGACTTTAGCGTCTTTGGGAATGGTGCAGGTATTTCATGTTTAAAAACCTAGTAGTTTTTTGCCTAGGACGCAAAACCCATATTGCCCCCAAATTCTGGAATCCTGATGTAGGCCTTCAACAATAGTGGACTGCACATCCACTTATTTATTAATTTTTTTAATCAAACAGTTATGTTTATCTAATACTAGAGAAGGTGCTGGCAATAAAAGGAAAAATAATTACATTATCAACAGTCACTTTATATAATTATATTATGAGAGTGATGATTGCTATCACAAAGTTGTTAATGGTGGTACAAAGGAAGTTTATAATAGGACTGGGAATAAGAAGGCTTCCATTTGAACTAGGCCTTTAAGACTGGGTAGTTTTCCAGGCAAAGCAGTTGTACTGAGACTAGGAGACACTAATCCACTCTCCACAGTAGGTAGTGTGATCTTTGAAAAAATCAGCTGGCCCTATCCCTACCAAAAACCCTTCCTTATTCTTGCACTTGGAATAAAATTCAAACATCACCTGCTCTGCCTGTTTCCAACGACTTCCATCACCAAATTCCCTCTCATTAAGCTCTCCCTACACTTTCCCTCAACTATGGTTGTCTCTTTCCCCTCAGGACTTTTGGAACTTCCTGTTCCTGATGTTCTTACTCCAGCTCTTCACATGGCTCATTCAACCTCATCCTTTAGGTCTCCCAAAAATACTGCTGGAATCGAAGGATTCTTCTCTACTTTACTGTCCGTCACTCTGTTTATTTCCTTCACAGAGCTTAAATGCCAGCCCAATTACCTTGTTTACTTTCTATCTTGTTTATTGTCAATTTCCCATTAGAGTGTAATCCTTATGGCAGAGACTCTTATTTACAACAATAGCCTTACAGTTTATTTTATTTTATTTTTTTAAAGATTTTATTTATTTGACAGAGAGAGAC